CCACAGGTCAACCTTGTATGACCACTTTCCTTACAGCGACTACATGTCGATATCCTCTTCTCTTCACCCTTAGACGGTATACGATCGTGATTTTTTGGTCGGCCAGGTAGCCTGATGTCCATGACTGGTGGCAAAACTGTTTGTAAGTCATCTGGTATGTCCCACTCAGAAGGATGTGGACATGGGTAGACAATCTAAGCATAAGTCTGTTGATATACTTCTGTAGTGTAGCAATCCATAGCATATGCGCTTGAATCATCTTGGTTTAGATGAAGAGCAAATTTTATAACATGGCCACACGGATAACCAGATGTTTTTCATTTCTTACAACTACACGACTTTGCATTTAGATCGACAAGCCCATTTAAGTTATTATCCAATACTTCAAACAAAGTGTTTGAACATGGTTCAACTCTCCATGACGTTGACTTCACAACATGTTTCGTTATCTTTTTTCAGTCCATGGTGTAACACGACGTTCCAATGTTCATGTAAATTTAAATAAATAATACTTAGTAAAATATATTATAAGTTACGAATTTAAAGAAATAATACATGCATGGTTTATTTTCTTGTAGTACCACTATTGAATAGAGACTCGAAAAAACTCCATTAACATAGTAATGGGTAATTTCCGGGAATGACGACTTAGAGTGTTGATTGATTATGCACTATTAGACGTCATGAAACCATATCTTACTCCAAGTTGATGTACTCTTGACCATCTTTCAAACCCGACATCTTCTAGTGTTTGAGCATATTGAGGCAAAACATGTCTTAAACAATTTATATGCTTATTAAAATCCACTTCTCGATAAGCTTTTACAGCCTTCCAGTATGTCCATTTGTGATTTTTTATACCAGCAGACCTTGATTTTAGATTTTTATACAAATGAACACCACAAAGTCCATAAAAAGCATCTGGGAAACACCTTCTAACAGCGTTGTCAATTGAGTTTGCCCTATCGGATATGATTGTCAGATTGCTAATAGGACCTATGCAATCCCTAAGATGCCCCATAAACCATGTCCATGAATCAGAGGTTTCAGATTTGCCAACCCCATAAGCTATTGGCAGTATCCCATTGTTAGCATCCATGGCTACTGCTAATAAGTTTACTCCAAGGTATCGACCTTTCAAATGTGCTCCATCAACTATAATAACTGGGCGCATGCAAGTAATAAACGAACGAATCTACAAAATCATATACACAAGAAATGTAATCATTTAAACGTGAAATGCATGCAACTAACAAAATGAGTCAACAAAATTATAATTATTTACTAACCGTAGCACCAATGGCGATAAACAGAAACTCAAAGCGTCCATCTATATCTGTTTTGATATGAGTTTTCGACCCAAGATTTTTCATCTTTAAATTGTGACAATAAGCCGGCAGTTGGGCAAACGATGCTTCTGACGACACCCTCAACAATTCCAAGGCATAACATTTGGCTCTCCAAGCTTGAGAATATGAGTTACTAATCTTGAACCAAGCATTCATGTTATTCATAATTTCATGTCCCCTATATACCCTTCCATTCAAAAACATTAACTCAGCCAGAAAACCACCCAACACCTTTTTGTTTGCCTGTCTATGGTGAGGAAAAACTTGGGTTCTTGAACATGTATGTTTATCAATAAAAGTCCTAACTTGAAACATTTCGCAATCTTTTATCATCTTTGCAATCATACGCTACGTACAATTTTTGTCAATCATACACCTTGTTTCGAAACGATCTTTGCTTGATTTGTTAACTTTTAGTTGATAGTCATCTTCCACACATTTCGTATACATAGCTATCTTAAAGTCTTCCTTTGTATCAAAACAATCATCTTTTTGATACGAATAAATTTTGTGTAACAATCAACTGCTATCTTTACCAACTCTTCTTTAGGTATCTGAAGTAATTCTGGCATATTCCAGTTATACTCCCGTGGCATTTTCTTCTTTTTCTTTTCTTCGAGGACTTCTTCTTATTCTTTTTCTTCTTCAGGGTTATACAAATTACAGAATGGATGTTCAACATGTTCATTCACAGTCGTAACTTTCTCCTCATTATCATCAACAACATCTTCCTCGGCAGCGGCTGTTTCATCATCAAAATTTGGGTATTGACCAATATCAAAATCATTACATGCAGGGTCTGTTTCTTCTTCCATCACATCATCAAAATCCGAGTATTGACCAAGATCAAAGTCCGAGTATTGACCAAGATCAAGGTCGGGTATTGACCAAGATCAAATTTTGAATACTAACTAATACTCACAATTTTTTCTGTTGGCTCATAATCGTCTAACTGGTCAATACGAAAACTGGAATTTGGTGTTGAAATTTAATTGGGATTTGGATTAGGAAAAGGTTGTGGGTTTTGAGATTGTGTTTGATATTGTGTTTGGTATTGGAAATGTGGTGAAACAAAATTTTCTTGGTGATGAAATTGTGGTGGAACCATTAAATTTTGAGGTTGATAACAACGGTGTACATTGTGAGCACCATAAATTGGGTTTGAAGAACTTAGTTGATTACTACCCGCTACTAACCCAACTTCACTACTTCTAGGTTCAACAACATACAATGTAACATCATCTTCTTGCGAAACACTTATGTAAGCAATGAATCGTTCAACATCTTCATTGTCTGTTAACAAATAAACTTTACCTTTTCTCTGATAAGATAGCCTAAATCCACTTAAAGGCTCTAAATTCAATTTCTTTGTAACACGTAACATTAGAGTTTCATAAGTTAACTTTTTTAATGACAGTTTTAGTTAAAGATTCATGAGTAGAGACACATATTGTAAAACACCGTGAACATTCTCCCATGACCCTCCAAAACACAAATCTATCCAAACATGATCAACATTAGATGATTTCATTCTACAAATTGTAAATTAATTTACTAAGCAAATGAGCTATAAACTAGATATCATCACTAACTTAGAGAAAAACATACCTTTATTAAGTTGATAGTTGATAATTTGGGAGAGAAATCATTGAAAAATTATATAGAAATAAAATTATGTAAAAAAAATTAGAGATGGGGAAGGATGTCGTTGGATATAGGAACGGATGTCGCCAGAGAGAGTGATAGATAGAGATGGAATGAGTTGCGATTTAGGGATTTAGGTTATGAGTTGTTGGTGCTGTGTCGTTATATACCCAAAACATTTGTGTTGCGAAACTAAAACCTGTTGCGAAATTAAATTCGTGTTGCGAATTCGAAAATCTAGTTGCGAATTTGAAATTCAGTTGCGAATTTAAAATTCAGTTGCAAATTTGAAATTCAGTTGCGAATTTGAAATTTCGCGTTGCGAATTTGACTTTTGTGTTGCGAATTTGACTATCGTGTTGCGAATTTGACTTCTGTGTTGCGAATTTGAGTTTTGTGTTGTGAATTTGACTTCTGTGTTGCGATTTACAAATTCGCGTTGCGATTTACATATTCGCGTTGTGAAATTGGAAACTAGGTTGCGACATTGGAGTTCGCGTTGCGAATTTGTTGGTCATTTTGGCAAATCCAAAAAAAGTTGGTTAAAATCGTAAATTATAAGGCATTTTCGGTCACTGAGGTTATTTTCTCTAATTTTAATTGGTTTTTAAGTTAATACATATATATATCTAAAATGAATTTTTTTTTTCAAAAATCATTTTTTAATAACAATTCCAAACCGTTAAATTTAAAACTGTATTTTTTAAAAATATTTTTTTTACAACACTTTTAAAATCACTTTTCAAAAATAATATCAAATTGGTAAATCAGTGTTTGAGTGTTTAGCATTGCATATGGGGCGCAATGATGGAATATCGGGTTCGAAAGTCATAATCGTTAGTGATTTAGATTCGAGCCACTAGGTGCGCAGCCTAGTCATTGTCCCATGGCATTCTCCTGCAACCCAAGACTTCGATGTTACCAACTTAAAGTGATCAAGAAATGGGTGATGGTGCATTGGCTGAAGCTCACATTGGATCAAGTGCTTGATTCGTGGAGGTGAGCTGGACCCAAAAAGATGAATTAGTCTTTGAAACTGATTCTTAAGTAGTCTTGAATTGGATCTTGTCTCTCACACTTTGACCTTGAATATGGTGGAACTTTTGAGGAATTGATCGATTGATAATTAAGATTGTAAGAGCTCAGTTTGTTTATGCCCCAAGGATGACGAGCGCTATGGCAGACCACCTTGCAAAAGCGGGTCTAAGTAAACATGAATTATTCAAGACAAGGTGGCATTGATAAGTGTTTAGTTTTTGTGTTCTTTTGGGGAGGCTTAAATCTTTGTTATTCTAAGGGTAGTGGGCAACAGGTTGATATAAAGTAAGAAGTTGTATATATTCTGCTTGTATTGCGTTGGATTCTCACGTAGTTTTGACCTGATTGGGTGTTCTCTTTTTTATTTACTTAGGCTTCTTAGGAAGGTTTTCAATGAGACACTCAACTCAAGTTTAGACGTATATAATAATTAATAAATTTTTGCTGATCCAAAAAAATATGGGGTGGAAAACCACTTTTCCATTATCAGAAGTATTCCCAAACTAGTGTCACATACATAGCTACTCAAATTCAAAACCTCTATAGAGAATAATATTCTCTTTGACCACTAAAGTCATTTAATAAATTCATCATATGTATAAATTAAATCAAATTTTAAATATTTTGTTTTTAAAATATAAATTAAGTGCAAAATATTTTTTTTCAGCCAGACGGTGTTGTGTGATAAACTCTACCATGTGTATAAATATGTGGTGGGAGAGAGAGAGAGGTAGTAGTAAGAAGAGGGGAAAGAGCATGAATGACAGTTAAAAGAGGAGCGAAATTGCATGTAATTGTTCCAATATAATAAACGTGAGCTCTACGTAATAACAATTATTTCCAAGAGTAAACCATTTCAATCTCACGAGAACTGCATCCCACAGCATTTATTTCCCAACTAAGTCATCATCCACCACTTCCTTCTATACTATATATAAACAAAACACTACTTCATGTCAAAACATCAGTGCTCAAAGATCAATCACAAGATAAACCCTAAATTAAAATCATATTAAACATGTCTCATATTTCTGTGGAGAGAAATAGGAGAAGGCAAATGAATGAACATCTCAAAGTTTTGCGTTCTTTAACCCCTTGTTTCTACATTAAGAGGGTAATTTTCTTCTTTTCTTTCTTCTATTCCGTTATGGAAATTGTGGAATCGAACCGAAATCGTTCAAGTTTTTTTTGAAAAAACTAATTTTAGGGTTCCTTTTTTCTTTTTAGGGTGACCAAGCATCGATCATAGGTGGTGTGATAGAGTTCATCAAGGAATTGCAGCAAGTTTTACAGGCTCTTGAATCGAAGAAACAAAGGAAGAGTTTAAGCCCTAGCCCTAGTCGAAGTACTCCAAAATCACTACTTTTGCCTGCAAAACCTAACTGTAGCGCTGTCGGATTAGAAACTGTGGGAGAAATTGGCGCATGTTGCAACTCACCGCTTGCGGATGTCGAAGCAAGGATCTCGGGATCGAATGTCGTCCTGAAAATAGTTTGCCGACGAATACCCGGTCAGATTATAAAGATAATATCTGTGCTGGAGAGATTTTCATTTGAAGTTCTTCACCTCAACATCAGCAGCATGGAAGACACTGTGTTATACTCCTTTGTCGTCAAGGTATCCATCATTTATTTATTCCAACCACACAGTTTCTATTGCGGGTTTTTAATTACTTAAAATTGATCATATCACGGGGATTTTGGAGTTTAAGGTTTATACTCTTTTTTCATAAAGGTACGGCAATTTGTTTTGGGTTTTAGGGTTTATAATGAAACATTTGTTTCCACCATAGTTGTTATGGGTATTAAGTATTATTACACACGATAACCAATTTGGTAATGTTTCAAAGAATTAATTTGACAGCTTCACCTGTGTTTTATAATGGGAAATTGGGTTCGAATCCCTCAAAGAGGCAAAGGTTCGAATCATGATATTTGTGAATGAAACAAACTAGGTTGAAAGAGACTCATTTCTATATTAAACCTCTATAATACTTGATTTGGGTTAATCAATTAATAGATCGGATGCCGGTAGTTATACAAAAAAAATTAATGGAAAACCTCTTCTTGCCGTTTGTTTCTTTGAAAAATGATTGTAGTTCTATTTTTTGCTTTTGATTAATTTAGGATAAGTATAATGTTATAACTATTCAAATATAATTATCAATCATTTGACATTAAATGTTCGTATTCTTGATATTTACTGTAGCTCGATTTAATTTTCAATGAGACGTGCAATGTTAGATATATCTTTTATAGAAGATGGGAGATTGTACTTTCCAATATGCATTTATTATGTGCTTCTAATCATATTGTCACGTCATTGGAACTTCAACGCCTTCGTGTGTTAACTCAGCTGTGGGCTCGTGGTCTATTACACTATGCTCATTTGAAGCAGGTTTCACTAAATTCCTCAAGGCAAGCATTGTCAACTATGGAATAATAAATATATAAATAAAAATGAACTTGACATTGCATTTCACCCATCAGGATAAAGAAAGCATTCCTATTCTCTTTTTCTTACCGAACAATATGATATAACATGAACTTTTAGAAACCACTTGAAATTAGCATATGATATAACATGTAATTTCAGAACGAAACTCATATCTTATTTTGTTCTTTGTTTGGACAGATTGGTCTGGAATGTCAGCTGAGCCTGGAGGAGCTTGCTGTTGAAGTTCAGCAAAGCTTCTTCTCGGACCCTGTTTTCCTTAACCAAATATAGCTTTCATAGTCTTAAAATTTTATGTCCTCATAGTTGTTATATCTTCGTACAAGAAATGAAACATATAATTTCATTTCTCTTTTTAAGGTTGAAATATATTTACTTCTAAATAAAGAAAATTACCAGGTTATCCACTTTTTCTATTATGTGGAGGGATACAGTTTCTCCATTACAAGGTTTATAATAGGACACAAAAAACATTACAAGCAGAAATATCACTATCATAGGTCATTACAACCAAGCTTTATATATATATATATATATTTACTTCTTTCGCTAACAGATCAGTCATAGTATTACACTTTCGAGCGACACACACAAATCATATTGATAACAAAATGAAACATCCGTAGTCTTAATAACGATTTTTTTTTTTTTGATCAGCAAACAATTTTATTATAAATGTTGCAAGTAAAGCTATATGTCTCAATAAAAACCTCCCTAAACCTAAGTGGAGGAAAAGAGTACATATAGCCAGCAAGGAAAATTACAATGACACCAACTACACCACACGCAACCCACAACAACACTGGACAAAGTGTAGCAGCCACAATACAGTAACTTAAATCAGATTGCTAATGAACTAACAACGACCCACACCACAGACTACCAGCCAGTCAAAATGAGGCCACCCCCCAATAAACCACATAACCGAGAACAAGAATAACCAAAAAAGGAAAAGGCTCACGGTGAACAGCACTCCTTAGCCGGGCAGTATAATTCCATAACACTTCCAAACAGAAACAAGAAGCAACAACACAGAAGGACCCCGAAAATAATTAACCCAAATCCTGAAGGGATTCTTCAACTACCAATATACTCACAGAAAACAGCAAACACCTCATCCCCATTTAGCCACACCACTAGGCTCAGCCACCTCCACACTAGAAGATGCAATAGACCCTGTAAAGAAGACCGCCCACACCTAGCCATGTCATGCTCAGGAACGATCAGCTAATCCCACCATGCTCGGAACATCTCTGAACGTACCATTCCTTGTTTGGCCAGCTGATCCGCTAGCCCGTTACCCTCTCTTGGGACATACATAAATTTTATCTCTGGAAATTTATTTGTTATCTTATCGATATCAGCAAAAACATCCCACCATCTCCATGGCCTTAAAGATAAATTTTCGATCCAATTCAACACAGTTTGGGAATCCGATTCTAAGATTAGCGAGAAATTAATAAAGCACCCAGATTCAAAGAAAATTTCCAAAGCTGTTTTAACTGCTACCAATTCTGAAAAATCCGAGTTCACCGGGGTTATAGGACCCGAAAACATTGCTTTAACGTCCCCTTAGTACGTGCGCAACACACCTCCAGTCTTAATAACGACTTAGTAACCTATAACACTGCAGTTTGCGAATCCGATTCAACAATCAATCACATTGATCGCCATACCCAAACTCATAGAATACATCAAGGGTTGTTTTCATATCAATCAATTATGCACGATCCAAACAAACTATCGAAATTGGATCGGAAATACAGCACATACCTCGCCCCTTCTTTGAACACCGCCATATCCAACAACCCATTCTTTGAACGCCCCATATCCAACAAAGGATCCAAATCAATCTCTTTCGATAACAATCAGAAATCTATTAATAACCAACGTCTACATAAAACTGTAAATCTGGGGTGGGACTTTCAACTTCCAGATAATATCAATATTAAATTTTGGATCTTCATTGTCATTATTAACGAGTAGTATAGTCAATTTCTTAACATAAAACTCTTATGTCTTATCATATCCTCAATCTCTTAAGTTAAATTGATGTTGACCAACTTTAAAACAAGCTCTTTTATGTAATCACCAATTTTATCCCAAAAAATTAATCATTACACCCATACCATGCTGCCACCAAATCCCACCAGCTCCATCCACTCAACTCCACGCCCTATCATCTACCGTCAACGACTGCACCAGCACCAAGCTAGCCTCGTCAACAATCACAAAACAAAATAGAAATTCGGATATGTAATTTTTTTTCACTTTTGGGAGGTATAAAAACCCCAATCGCAGTGTAAAAAAGGGGACATCCTCCCCGATTTTTCATTTCTCTCTAGAAAGCAAAGAGAGCATTGTAAACAATTGGTTCCCATTTTTTCTTTTCAATACCAATATAGAAGCAATATAATGAAGGTTTTCTTCTTCACTTATTTTTCGGGTAACCATATTTTTATTTCTAAATCCAAGCAGAAAAGTAGTAGTAATAGAGAGAATAGAGAGGGTTAGCTACTGTTGTCTTAGTCGAATAGGGTCTTGTCAGAGTCGAACCGTTGGGATCGTCGCGCGTTGAGGTCGCCTTCGAGTTCGGATAGTTGATTGGTCATTTGTGGCGACGATTTAGGGGGTCGATTTGGCTCTCGGGACCCTCGGGTTCGGGTTTTAGAAGAGGAAGAAGTGTCATGGGTGTGTCGTCATAGCAACCCGACCACCGATGTTGGTGGTCAGCGAGGTTTTGAGGTCGAGTTACGTCCATAGTCGATGGCCTTGAGAGCAAATAGTGGCATCGTCGTTATGGGTTTCGGGTTAAACATTTGGAGAGGAGAATAAGCTTTTGAGGTTCCTTATGAGGTCGTGTTATAACTCCCTTAACCCGTATCCGACCCGGAATCGAATCCGAGGTGTCACATTGACTATTTAAAACTTTTACTTTTACAAGATAGTTGAAAATTCAACTTTAATTAAAATAAAACTGAAATAATTTACATAAATACAATCAAAAAGGTTTACAAAACCAATCAGATCATATTTAATTTAAGTCTTCATTTACATACCAACAAAATAACATAAAACAAAAGTACATACAGCTTAATTTAATTCTGATTGATCTTCAGTTGATATATTGTCTTGTTGATTTGTTCTATCTTGGATCTTTTTGTCTCGTTGAACCTACGTGTAAAACATTCACACGCTAAGTCACAGACTTAGTGAGGCATATAATACATTAATGTAATAATGAAATCATGGAACATGCAATCATATATTATCATAATGTACAAGAATCCTCATATATCTACTCAACAAGAACATACATAGTCATGCATTTAACCAATAATAACATATCACTTTATGCAATGTTATTTAATGTTATATCTTTTATTAGCCCATGGTACATTACTGAGAACTTAAGGTATGTGAGTACATTGAGGTTGTGCACAAATGTTGTCACCACAGCTCGTATAAATTGCACCGAAGTGCCGCGTAGAATTTGCACTGAAGCGCCACATAGAAATGTCCCGAAAGATCACATAGTATTGTCTCGAATGATCGTGTAGAAATGTCCCGGAGGACCACGTAGAATTATCCCAAAGGACTGCGTAGAACCCTCGACTCTTGTCATTCCAATTATACCCGCAACTCTCATATCAAATCTATGGGATTTACCATTTATATATTTCGAATAACTTTTGTCACATAAGCATTTAAACACATAGACATGTAATCACGTAGGTCATGTCACATGGTTTATATCACATATTCATGTAATCACGTAGATCATATCACATAGCTTGTATAACATATTCATGTAATCACAGAGATCAATATACATAGCATGAATATAACAATGCATGTCACAAAGTATAGAATCACCATAATGCTTATTTCATGTACTCATGAAATCAAAAATTGGAAATAGACTCATCGCAAGTCTAATTTCCATATAATCATATACTATATTAATATGCACTCACCTTATCTTCACTTAGTCCAATCAACGCTTATAACTCTTTATCTCTCTCTTGATCGATCTTAACTCGTCGATTATTTCGAAACTTGCTTGTGTTCGATATTTACACAAATATACGATCTATATGAATATCGGAATTCTAATCACTATGAATCAATCATTAATAACCTAAGCTAAAAGAAACACTTAATTCAAAATTTAACTTTGAATAGTATCGGTACCCAAGGTACAGTACCGATACTTCCTTATTGTGGTATCAATACTATACTTCAGTATGATACCTTTCCCACATTCTGGAATTCATTTCTGAAAATGGTACCAATACTTCAAAATTCATTTACTAACTCTTTCTCAAAATTCACTTAAAAACCCCTTATATTCAATCTCTTATAACTTATAAATCCTTTAGTTTTTACCTCTCTTTAAACTTCCTTAAGCTTCTCTAACACCTCAAGAATCAAAACCACTTTTAAATTGCAAGAAATAACTAACTAGAATAATCCTTACCTTAGATATGGAGTCACGAGAGTTTGAGGAAGAAATGAAGATTTTCTAGAGTTCTGTGAATTATTTTCCTTCTCCTCTATTCCATATGGATATAAAAAACAACAAAATGGATTTTTAATTATTTTCTTGACTATTGACAAATATGCCCTTCCAACTTTCCTTCTTTGATATTCAATCCAACACAAAGATAATCCAATTAAGTCCATGAACTTTTCAATTTATCACAATTTAACCACCAAGTTTATAAAGCTTACACTTTGGTCACTATCATGGTATTAGGGATGTTACACGTGTGGTCCCCCTTGACCGGGTGGAAACTCGGTAGGAGCGCGTAGGCCACCATTGCTTGGTGGCCGATGAAGAGTGGCCTTTGGGTCTTTGAGGTTAGCCCCGCTCATGAGGAAGAAAAGTTGAGGAAGATGAAAGTTAGGTTTTGTTTAAGGTTAGTGTTTATATTAATATTAGGATATATTTAGACTTTTTTGGGTTAATTACACTGGTGTCCCTCAAAGTTTGGCGTGTTTTACATTTTGGCCCTATTTTAAGGGTTAATTCCCTTTTGGACCCTTAAGTTTCGGCGCATTTTTCTATTTGGTCACTAATGCCTTGTTCTTTTTTATTCATTTTCTACTTTGGCATTTTGTTTTGCTTTTATTTTATTTTGGTCACTTTTATTATTATTATTATATTTGGTCACTGCTTTTTATTTATTTGTTTCGAATATGATGTATCATTTCACTGTTTTCTATTTATTGTTATTATTCGAACCGACCTTGTGGTGACCCGATCTAGG